AACTGATTGTAATATGCTGCCAAAGTTGGCAGCTACTACACTAGGAAATATCCAAAGGTGATGGTAATAACAGTAGGAGGTATTGCTACCTCTTGCTCTTGGGGTTAGAAGAGCGGATAAGGAAGGGGAGTTGGGAATCTTTAGGATGTAAGTCTAACCTGGACAGTTTTGACAGCCATGATCCAGGAGGAGTCAGATTTTAAACTCAAAGTATAATTCTATGGCAGTAGTTTTCAAAGTGTGATCATTGAGCCACTTCATCAGAATCAGCTGGGGGTACTTGCTGAAATGCATGTTTCAGAGCCCCACCTCAGAATCTCTTGAAGTGGGATGGGACTGAGAGTCTGCACTTTTTAACAAGCTCAAGTAAGTGATTTGTATACCCATTAGAGCAGCGGTTCTCAACCTTTCACAGGGTTCGCCTAAGACCATCGGAAAACACATATTTTCGATGATCTTAGGAACCAAGACACCGCTCCTCTATCCGTGTCCAGGCCCACATGCAGATACGCCCACATACGAGTACCCGGCAACCCTGTGAAAAGGGTCGTTCGACCCCCAGGTTGAGTACTGCTGCATTAGCATGTAGGAATCACTGTTCTGTAGCAGATAACTTATATCACAATGAATAACAAATGGCACCAAGAGCAAGTGCACTTTTCACTGCACACGTTTTCTGTCTGAATACTGTGTGCACAGATTTTTCTGTCTTACCCTTAGATGAACACTTAGACGTAGGTATTATCTTTCTTAACAGATGAGGAAACTGAGGGTCAGTGAAGTTAAATAACTGTCCAGAACCATGGAGTTTGTGAGGGGGCAAACCCAGTCTTCAAATTATCATCTCTCTGAGCAACAGCGGTTCGAGTCCCGGCCTGAGCTGAGCAGCCGCTGAGCTGCCAACAGGTAGCAGGATGGCTCAGCTTAAAAAAAAAAAAATTATCATCTCACTCCAAAACCACAATGTTACTTGCGTAGTCAGAGTCAGATTTCTGTGAATAAGACCCTAATAAAAACCCTGGACCCTGGTTAGTGAATGTATTGATATGCCAGGAGGATGACATGTCTGATTTTACTTCATGGACACTTTGTCTATAATAACTCCTTATGTTCCTGCCAGTATGTATATATGTGCACTCTCTAGTGTGGCGTCGGCAGATGTGACATTTATGGCATGCTTGCTAAAGGGACAAGGAGGCACAGGCTCCCACTTTATTTGGATTCCTGAAAGGGCCCGTTTCTCCCTCCAGATAAGGAAAGCTTACCTGTTTTCAATTCAGGGAAAAATATTTTTCATAAATGAATATACTAACACAGAGCATACCAGTTGATTCTCTGAAACCCTGGTGGATTAGCTGGAGAGCGTTGCCCCAGGTGGGCTGGCTATAGGAGCCCCCTGACATGGTCACACTGGCCCAGTGGCTGGCTCCTGCTTTGGTCTGCTGTCAAACCCCCACCCCCCACCCCTTCCTTTCTCCTCACCTTCTGGTCTCTGTGGGCATTCCTGGAAAACCAGCCTGGTCCCCATCTCCTCTCGGATTAAGCCCTTTCTGTGCTTTTTCCAGTTTCCTCTGTCCTGCCCTCTCCCCAAAGACAGGAATTCCATCTTTCATTCACAGCTTTTCCCAAGGTACTCTGCTCACCTGCTGTGGCTCTGCTCCTTCCAATTACCTAGATGAGCGCCTGCTACCCTGCAGCTGTGATGCTATGGAAGGAATCCCAGGTCTGGAGTCAGAAGGCCTCTTTGTGCTTTGGTTTTACAGTGTAGTCTTGGGCAAGCCACTTTACTCCACCTGAGCATTTACTCAGAAATCAGGATATAATTTGCCATATTCCCCAGATACAATTCTTTGCCCATGTCTCTAAACTTGTTCATATAACCTGAAGGGGGGTTGAGCCCACAATTCCATCCTGAATCTGTTCACCTCATTAGCAATGTCTTTTATCCAGGTCCCTGATAAAAGAAAGAATATTCTTTTTCCTCCTATAAACTCATTCAAGCCTCATCAGGTCAGTAACTCCTCCTGGGTTGATGGGAGTGCCACCAGTTCTCGGTAGTGGGGTGCATTCCCTCTCCAGCTAAGCTGCCTTCCAAAGATGGGAGAGTTTCCTAATTGTCCAGAGCCTGGACGGTCAAGGAGCGCAGTTTACTTGTGGCCTTGCTTACTGTAGCACCCTTGCAGCACCCTTGGCTATGTTTTCTCTTGCTTTTCTGCCTGAAACCCAGGCTAGACCGGCCAGCGTTGTTGGTCTTTGGCTTCCACTCATGACCAATTGAATAAACAAGGCTAATGTCACTCTGAGGCCCAATTCTTTTTCTCTCTCTCAGCAATGATATACCTGAATGGATGAGTCCCAAAACAGAGATGTGGTGCTTAGAAAGGCAGTTAATAGTCCTAGTTCTTGTTCTCCAAGTCAGCTTCCAACAGGCCTTGACAGGGATTGTCAGACCCTGGTGGCACTTTTGTTCCCAGGCTGCTGCACATTCTGTGTCCAACAGTCAAAAGCCCTGTGAGTACGACATTCTTGGGTCTTCGGCTAAAATACCATCGTCATGCAGCCAAAGCTTCCTTCTTTACTTCTAACCATGTCTTTGTGCTCTCATTCACCAAGTACCCAAGTCCCAACCTGACTGCAGACACAAGATGTCATTCCATTTTTTTTACCTCCCCGTTCACAACCTCCCTAGCCAGTGCTGTCACATACAGGTGCACAATGCCATTTGGTGAGTTAAATAATGCCCAAACCCACTAACAATTTTGGTGAACACAACACACACACACACACACACACACACAC